AAAGGGGGGCCCCCCCCCCCCCCCCCCCGGGGGGGGGGGGGGGGGGGGGGGGGGCGAGCTGACTGCCAAGGCCAGGCCTGGGCCAGGATGAGTGCGGTGCAGGCACCAGAAGGGGGCAGCACAGGCCGGTGGGAAGAGGAACCCATCACCAGGGGAGGGACAGGGGTACCTACTGGAGAGACTCGGGAGGGAGGAGAGGGCCAGGCCCTCAGAGGGAGAGGCCGAGGAGGGACAGAGGGACCCAGCAGGGACGTGGTGGACAGAGGGACGGAGGAGCAGGTCCGCACTGTGCAGAGCCGAGAGCAGGACTGTGAGGAGTGCACACTGTGCACACACGTGGAGCCAGTGGGACACGTGGTGGGAAAGCTGGCTCTGACCTAACCGGACACCCGGTGGCACCACGTGACCCAGGCTCCAAAGGGCAGGGAGAAGTGACGCTGGGTGGCTGCCCTCCTGGCTCCCACCCGAGCCCAGGCGCCCGCAGTCCTGGCCTGGCGCCAGTGGGGAGCCTTCCGTGGGAGCAGCCCACAGCCAGCCCAGCCTCCGCCCCTGGCCCTCACGTCACGTGAGGCCATCCCCTCCAGGAGTCCCAGGCCAGGGGGCAGGGGGGTACCTGGGCTTCCCCTTCGGATAGCACCCCGTCCCCATCTGTGTCCAGCTCTGGGTGGGTCTGCAGCTCGGCCACCGAGACCCTGCAGGGGTGCAGGCAGAGCCCACGGGTGAGCAGCAGGAAGTTGGAGGTGAGCTCTAGGGTGGGGACCCCTCCAGCCCCCACCCCTGGGGTCTATTCCCATCCCTTCCTTAAGTCTCTCCGAGGAGGGACAGACAGAGGTGGGATCAAGACGCCTGGACCCGTGTCTCCCGAGACCCTCTCCTCACCACCGGCAGCATCCATTCCTTCCACCCTCAGCACCAGCATCCACCTGCCCTCCGCCCGGGGCCCTCACCCAGAGGGGCCCACACCCACGATGGCCAGTCTGTCCCCCACAGTCACCACTGCCAACCAGGGAAGGGCTCGCCCGCCCATTCTGCTCCCCTGGTCCTCACCAGGGCGCCTGCCCAGCCTCCCGGTTCCCGGCAGCCCACCCTCCACTGAGCCATCAGCCTGGGGTCAAGGGCACAGCCGGGTCCAAAGGGTCTGCCTTTGACCCCAGAGGAGGCCTGGAAATAGTGGGATCCCTCGTCACCTCACTCAGCTCCTTGGGAGGTCAGTGTCCCCATCTCCACCACCACCTGCCTGTTACAGCCCATCTCACACGTGAGTGAGCGAGGGCTCATTCAGAGAGAGCCTGGGACCAGCTCAGGCCCATGGCCAGGAGGTGGGGGGCTGCCTGGTTTCTAGGGCAGGTGGGGGGAGGGACCCAGGCCGGGGCAGGCGGGGACACTCACACCCCGTCCATGTTGTCGTCCAGCTCCTGGAAGGCACTGGCCGCCAGCTCCTGCTCCCGCTGGGCCTTGGAGGCGGCCTGCTGCTCTGTGGACGGGCCAGCTGTCACCCTCCACTCTGCCCACTGGCTCCCCCCACCCCGAAACCTGCCCTCCCCCACACCCCACGCAGCTGACCGTGTGCCTGGGCCCTATGCTGGGCCCTGGGGCCCTGAGCCAGGCCACTGTGGGGGGCAGCCCAGCACAGCCCTGGGACGCGGATCTAATCAAGCAGGGGCTGCAGAGACCACGCAAGGGG